CCCGAGCACGGCACAAAGAGGCCCTCGAGGGTCTACACCTCTATCCCGGGCACAAGACCTCGATGAGGAAACAACCTGAGTTCAAGCCATGGCTCCTCACAAAGGAACCACGACTTGGGGGGCTCCTGTTCTAGACTGGGCCCGACAGGCCCAAAAGCATTGCAAAGGCCCAGTCTAAATGGACTTACAAGGGTCACGCCGACCAAAGAGTCACGACCGTGCCCGACGGGTAGTCGCAGGCTCGACAGCACACCTCCAGCTCGACATGCTGCGGTCCAGCTCCACATCCTGAGGTCCAGCTCGACATTACCTCGAGCACCCCAGCTAGGGCAGACTCAGTCCACTGTTCCCCCAACGATACCCCGAAAAGACCGCGTCTCCGTCCGCCCGCACTTCACGCAGAACATCCAGGAAGGAGACCACGTGCGGGTCCCCACTACGCACGTAGAACCTGGCAGTTCCTCCATTGGGCCAAACCTGCCCGGCCCAATGAAGGAACCTTGGCCCAGCGCTGTGGGCTATAAATACCCTCTGCTTCCAGAGGGTCAGGTATTCATCATTCTAACCTTACATTTGCTATTATCTGCTCGTACTCCTACTTACTTCAGCATCGGAGTGCCTTGCAGGTAACCCCCCCCACTTCGTTCAAAAAACTTTCTGCTCGGAGCCAGCCGTGACGGTCCATTTCTGATCAGGTCAAATTAAAAATTAAAAATGATATGAATAAAAATTAAATTTTAAAAGTTATGCCAATTATATTTTTGATTCAAAGAGAAAATAAACAATCAAATCAAATTTAATTAAATGATATGAATAAAATTGGAGGCTAAAAATTGTAGTGTGATAACTACCCCTATTTAGTTATCTTAAGTTCAATATTCTGAAAGACCTAAGTCTTCTTGATATCAATGGCGGAAGATAATTAAATATTAGAGAGATTCGATTTTATTTCTCTTATATGGAATGCGATGCAAAGAATGAACTCTTTTTTTGATATATTTTTTGAATGATGTGATATGCAAGACCGACTATGTGAAAAGTATTGAAAAGACTCGAAACGAGAAAATTATTGAAGTTTAGGTGAAATGACGTGGAAAGATGCTATAGTGGCATCCAATAGTGATTTTGGATGGTCAACAATGATCATGACATTCAATAGTGGCTTTGAATGACAGTGATAAATAAAACATTCAATACTGACTTTAAATGAAAAAGTGACTCAAGATATATATATTAACGGAAACGTGAAGTTATTGATAACAAATTGAATATTAACGAGAATATAAAGTTGCTGATCAAAATATTGAATACTAACGGAAATATGAATTTAATGATCAAATTATTGAATATTAACAGGAATATGAAGTTATTGGTCAAAATATTATATATTAACGAGAACATAAGTTACTAATATAAATATTGAATATTAACGAGAAAATAAAGTTACTAATCAAAATATTGAATATTAAAAGAAATATTAAATTATTGATCAAAATATTAAATATTAATGAAAACATGGAGTTCCTGATAAAAATATTGAATAATAACATAAACATGAATTTACTAATTAAAATATTGAATGCTAACGTGAACATGATGTTATTGATCAAACTATTGAATATTAACAGGAACATGAAGTTATTGATCAAAATATTAAATATTAATGACAATATAAAATTAGTAATCAAAATATTTAATATTAACGAAAACATGAAATTACTAATCAAAATATTGAATATTAATGAGAATATTAAATTATTAATTAAAATATTGAATATTAACAGAAATTTACTGATCAAAATAAATGAATAATAACAAAAACGTGAATTTAATGATTGAAATATTGAAATAGGCGTACCATACAAATATACGTATGAACGCACCGGATATCGTATTATTTAACTTGTATAATTAATTTTTTCTTGACAAGTTTTGTAGAATAACATGGAGTAGTAAAATTTCAGTCCATATTTTAATTAATCTAAACATTAAAATTTCACTCCACTGTATTCCTTCATATTCATCCATTCATACAAAACCTTAAAGATTATGATTTAATCATATTCATACTACTACTCTATATGAAACCACTATTGTGTATTCTATATCCATAATTATTTCTCTCATTGAGTTGCAAAGTTTGGTGTTTTTAAGGTTTGTAGGTCCATCTGTTTGTTTAGGTATGTGTCAATTCAGTCTTGTTATCTTTTTGAAATTTTTTGATTCAAATATTGAACTTTTGCCTGCTAGTTGTTTGATGAAATGCCTGAAAGAAATTTCATATTAAGTTTATTTAATGCGCACTTTTTTCATATGTAGTTTATGTTCCAAGTTGAAATTTGATATAATCCATCATTTTAGTTTAGAGTTTGGGATGATTTATGGGTTTAGTTCTAAGGGTTTCAATCAAGGGATGTTGTTTTTCTTTACTTTGCACAGTTGCACTGCAACTTGAGAATGAAGCATATTACATGTTTGATTAAATGTCTTTAAGAGCATATTCATTCTCGTAATCTGTGACTGCCATTGTTCAATCGATCGGTTTCACCTCATAATCTGTGACTGCCATTGTTCAATCGATCGGTTTCACCTCATAACCTGTGACTGCCATTGTTCAATCGATCAGTTTCACCTTTATGTTTTATGTTTATTTTGGCTTGGGCTATCACTAGTGTTATTATATCATAATTTGACATCCTGTTTATGTTGCTTTCACTAGGTGTTGCTCGGATGATACATACACTAAAAGTTTTTGACCTGCTGGTGTGACAAGATAGATATACCTGTAAATGCTTGGTGGGTCACTGTCTTGTAAAACTGCAAATATAAATGGAACTCTGCTCAGCCTTCTTGGTAAGTGCAAATCAATGCTTGAGCTGAAGAAGCTTCATGCTATTGGGATCGCTTTTGGTTTATCTCATGAAGACTCGTTTATATACAAAATCCTTTCATTTTCTGCTCTGTCCAATTCAGGCGACATTGATTATTCCTACAGGGTTTTCTCCCAGCTTTCCAGTCCAACAATTTTTAGCTGGAATACAATCATAAGAGGCTATTCGAATAGCAAAAATCCAATCCATTCCCTATTTATTTTTCTGAAGATGCTGCGACATGGGGTTGCACCAGACTACTTAACATACCCATTTCTCGTGAAGGCCTCGGCACGCCTTTCAAAACAGGAAAGTGGTGTATCTGTGCATGCCCATATTGTAAAAACTGGCCACGAGTCTGATAGATTTATCCAAAATTCTTTGATTCACATGTATGCTTCTTGTGGGAATATTATGTGGGCTCATAAAGTATTTGATAGTATGCAAGGAAAAAATTTGGTTTCTTGGAATTCCATGTTAGATGGCTATGCAAAGTGTGGAGAAATGGCTTCGGCTCAGAAAGTTTTTGAGTCAATGCAGGAGAGGGATGTCCGGTCATGGAGCTCTTTGATTGATGGTTATGTGAAGGCCGGGGAGTACAGGGAAGCTATGGCCATCTTTGAAAAGATGCGAGCTGTTGGCCCCAAAGCCAATGAAGTGACTATGGTGAGCGTCTTGTCTGCCTGTGCACATCTTGGTGCTCTAGAAAAGGGAAGAATGATGCACAAGTATGTTGTTGACAATTGTTTACCAATGACAATGGTCTTACAAACTTCTCTTGTGGACATGTATGCTAAATGTGGGGCAATAGAGGAAGCTTTGTTTGTATTTCGCGGCGTCTCAAAGAGTCAAACTGACGTGTTCATTTGGAATGCAATGATTGGAGGTCTTGCAACTCATGGGTTAGTGGAAGAATCTCTTAAATTGTTTAAGGAAATGCAAATGTTCGGCATCCGATCCGATGAGATCACATACCTCTGCTTGTTGGCTGCCTGTGCCCATGGAGGACAAGTTAAAGAAGCATGGTACTTCTTTGAGAGCCTTGTTAAATGTGGCATGACACCTACAAGTGAGCACTATGCGTGCATGGTAGACGTGCTGGCGCGTGCAGGTCAATTAACCACTGCGTACCAATTTATTTGTCAAATGCCCATAGAACCAACGACTTCCATATTAGGTGCTCTTTTTAGCGGGTGTATCAACCATAGAAATTTAGATCTTGCAGAAACAGTTGGCAGGAAGCTTATTGAGCTAGATCCAAACAATGATGGAAGATATATTGGCTTGTCAAATGTATATGCAGTTGTCAAACGTTGGGATGATGCCAAGAGCATGAGAGAAGCCATGGAAAGAAGAGGAGTGAAAAAATCACCTGGGTTTAGTTTTGTTGAAATATCTGGGATCCTTCATAGATTTATTGCCCACGATAAAACACACCCTGATTCAGATGAAACTTATTCTATGCTATATTTTGTTGTCTGTCAAATGAAACATGGTTGTCGCCAAGACAATCAGGAGGAGAATTTGTTGAATGATACATCAATAGAAGATGATTTGATTCTCTTTTGAGTAGATTGCGTTAAAGTTTGTAGAAGTTAACATTTATTGTGGAAGGGTTATTGCACAAGACCTGGATTTCAATGTAAGTTAACAAAATCCTTTTGGTTTTTGTGTCCAGTTATATGTCTTCATATTTTAACGCAGTTTAGATATCCATGCAACATGTCGGTTACAGTCTTACGGAATGTAACTACCATTTCACATTGTGAAAACAAGTTTATGCACTCTAACAACTAATAACTAGATAAAGCCTCGAAGTTCTGGAATTGTTGGCAGTTTGTTGACCATGTTGTTTAGTACATATTTGTGTGGCCACAAATTTTAAATACATAAATATCAAATCAATAGATTTTATATGTATGTTTTGAGTCAATAATTTCTGTATGTAAGATTTGAAATTAAGAATTTACATAAAGGAAATTAGCCTCTTTCCTACTCCAAACTGATGGGCATCAATTGAAATAGTGGTTCTAATTATTACTTTTCTATATCAGAGAATACTTTTGACTATCCCTTGCATTGCAGAGTATAGTCATCAATTCTACATTCATGTTGTGATTGGTGGAATTATCATTGATTTTCTACATTTTGATTTCCTTGTGTATCCTTCATGACACATTGCTCTTCCTCGATACTTTTTCCCCATAAAAGAATATACATGCCAACAATAACCAAGGCAGATCCTGCAATACTGCTTATAGCAGTTAGCCATACATTAGGTGCAATGAAAGAAAGAAAAGGTGTGGAAATCATAGAAGAGTGAAAAAAGAAATCAACCTTCCCAAGTATATTTCCTCCTTTAGTATTGAGAAATCGAGAACAGCTACAAATATTTGTAAAAGAGGGGTAAACGCTGCAGTAAAAACTGGACCCCTTTGTTTGACACACCATGACATTGCGACATAGCACAAGCCCGATCCCACCAATCCCTAGGATCACATAAATAACAATTTTGAGGTCTAAGAACTCTATATTTAGCCGTGAACTTCACAAATAGTTTTGAAAAGGATTTGAATTTGCTGCAGTCACGAACTCACGCAGTCAGCACATGGGTGGCAGTTCAATCGAGATCAGACGATGCAGAAAGCAAATAATTCATTTTTTTTGCAACTCTAAAATATCATGCTTGAAATCTGACTATCCAATCTTGATCCAATGACCACGATGTGCTGGTTGTGTGAAATCGTGAGATTTTTTACTGCACCCAAATCCTTTTGAAAACCCTGTGCATGATGTGTGTATTTCATTGCAAAGAGCATACTTACAGAATATATTATACACACTATTTCTAGCTTTCCTTTGAGGATCCATGAGCCATTGTTTCCCTTGATGACCAAAGTTAATATTGTTGATTGAATAGTAGCAAAAAGTGACAAAATAGCAGTGCTAGAGTATTGATATGGATACTTTTTGCTAATCTTTGCTTGTATAACAAACCATGAAGACCACAAAATGCAACCTGCAGTCAGAAGTATTGGACCTATAATGTATTTCTCCAACTTTGCAGCTGGTGGCACATTTGTATATCTATTTTCTATGTGTTGAGATTGTGGGTTATTTAAGGGAATTCCTTTATAAAGGGCTAATAACAAAACTCCACCAATGGACACAATAGCTCCCAAGGTTTTGGCTTTACCACTTTTGATTTTCAAGTTCACCTTCTCTATCCTAGAAAAGTTTCAAACCAAAAGGTAATTAATTTATAAATTGTTGTAGTTCTATTAATACCGCAATCAAATAATTATTACCTTTTGTTTAACTTACCCAAATGGAAGTGACATGATGAATGTAAATACAGGCACCATGTTGAGGAATGCACATGAGACTGTAGCAGATGTATACTCAAGTCCAAGAAGAAACAGGTATTGGGGAAGTGTTACTCTGAAAGGCATCCATAGAATGTTATTTAGTCGATAACTATAGTATTAGCACAGAACTATAAGCGTGTTCTTTCGTCCCGATAATTCATACCCGACAAGAGCAGAGAGAAAAAGGAGACATATTATGTGAGCCTCCAGTTTGTGTTTCCTGTAAAAAAATTGAAAACTGCTTCAATATGCCCAAACAAGTTATAAATAAGTTGTACAAAACACTTACGGATTCTTACCCTTCATAGAACCATGCAATAGGTGTCATGAAGATGAATGAAATTGCTTGTCGATATGTTACAATTGACATGTAGTCCATTCCTTCATTGAGAACCATTTTAAGAAGTACATTGACAAAAGCAAGAGCTAAGTTAACTATAATCAAGGTAGTAACTGGCTTGCACAATACATGGCATTGCATCCCGAATTTCCTCTTTCAAATTTATAGTTTGTTGTTAGTTTTGGAAGGAATGGTTTGATGCATGTTATCTTCTTCAATATATAGAGGAGTTGTTCACCTCATAGGAGAGATAGGAGAGTTGAACCAACATGATTAATATTCCTTCATTACATCAACACTTTTGAGAGATTCTACTTGATGACTCCTTTAGCCATATTTTTCTCATTCCTTTACTATTCCCTTGCTTGAATTAAGATTACTGAAATAAAGTGCTAATAAAATCACGTTTTACATATTATTATATCTACTTTTCTCAATTGATATCAGAATAACTATCTTCTTTTATGAATGAATATAATCCAAAGTGATGAAAGGATGTTACTATTCTTAGAACCATTAGCTTCTTATTCTTTTGACGATATTTCCAAGTGGTTGTGACTTGTATGCATCATTAGAAATTAGTAGAAAGTAGAGACATATATGACATTCCTGTCTCCAACATGTCAAATCTTGGCAGAAGAGAGAAGGTAGTAGGAAGTTGAAAGGTTCTTTTTTAATGGAATGCAAATTATTGGCATGGGAAATATGGTTAACATCACATAAGATATGTTCAAATATAAAAGCAAGAGATTATGATTTCTGCACTATTTTCACATGGAATCAATAGGAGTGAGATGTTAGCTCCTAAAGTTGTACTATTCGATTGTCAAAATAGTCTCTCAGTTTTGCAAATTCAAAAATTAATTCTCAAAATTGTAAAATATAGGCCAAAATATTATCACTGAGACTTATTTATTTTTTGAAATTTAAATCTTAAGATTATATTTTAGTAGTAATTAGTTCCAATATAATTGTAATTACCGACAAATTTGTTTTTGAAATGGTTTAATTAACATAGACAGATTAATCTATACTGAGCTACCACTAATGTGGAATGTGACATATATTTAAGGTCCAATTTAATCATTATACATACTTATCATATTATGTACTATTTGATGCGCACATAATAACTAACAACTATTAGAACACTATTTTTTTTATATATTATAAAATGATTTTGATATACATCTCATTAGGATATGAAATAATATATATTATATATGAAATAATATATATTATATTTAAATGACAAAATGACTCTTCTAGAAAAGAAACAAATGTTTTTGGATTTTTTTTAAAAGGATGTCAGACGAGATGTTGAATCTCGCTCTTACGTATTCTTAGATGTGATGAGAAACTCAAGCCTGCGTAGTTCTTTTTTAGAAAATCACATATTTGTTGGTTGATTTTAAAGAATGATGTTTTAGTCACATTGAACAGTTAAATCTTACTTACTCTTCGCGCTTGGAGGTTGAATTGTTTGTTTATTTCGTGTCGAAATTGATAAAGCATACTCGTTTATGAAAAGGTTTTCGAAATCGCGCTAGGGCGAAGAAAGATAATTTGATTGGTTGAATTTGCTTTTAGAGGACGCAAGTGTTTAAATGACCAAGCTATACAACTTGTATTCGAACACTTGAGAAAAAGGTAAGACATACGTCCATCTTGTCCATTTATCAGTTTATTGAAAAAATTTGAGACGAATTGAGTCACAACTCCTTAATAGAAGGTAAGTATTCACAAATGGACAAGCTATGCAACTTGTATTCAGATACTCGTGAAAAAGGTAGGACATACGTCCACCTCGTCCGCTTACCATTTATGAAGTTGAACTGAACTCTTAATTAATGCATTTTAAATTGATTGTGAATATTCAAATGACAAAACTATACAACGTATATCCAAAAATTCAAGAAAAACGTAGGACGTAGGACATACGTCCATCTCATCTGTCTAATCCATTTATTAAAATTTTTTTTTTACACGTTTTGATTTAAAATTGATAGAAAAACTTGATGTTGACCAAGCGTTTGATCGCATTCAATTGAATAAAACCGACTTGATGTTGATCAAGTATTTTAATCTTTTAAAAATGTTGATTTTAATTCTAACTTTTAATTAATATAATTTTAATCATAGACTAATAAAATAGAAATAAAAGACAAATAATAATTAAAAAACAAGAACAAAAATAAAAAGAGAGAGAAAAAAATAATACAAATGGCCCAAAGAACTAAGTCCAAAAGGAAAACCAAAGGAAATGGGGTACTAAAAAACAAGTCTATTTTTTTCCACCTTATAGTTTTTTACCACACCAAGCGAAATTTCAAAAATGCTCTTTAAAATTGGAAATATATTTCCGGTGCGCACTTTGACAGACATAAATTGTATAAGAAACTTAGGTGTTAACCAGTAATATATTTCCAGTTGCAACAAGATGTATATTCCCGGTTCGTGTTGAGACTTAAAGGCGCGGTGCCTTTTCCCCTCCCTTTACAGCAGAAACTTATTTCAAAAAAGAAAAAACAAAACACACAAACTCATTCCTCTCAAACTCCATTGTTACAAAATCAAACTACTTCGCAAAAAGCTCGTCAGAAGTCGTCAAGCATAAGATAACTCAAGTGTTCAACAATATTCAATCAAGAAAATCCATTAATTGTAAGTTATTTTTGAGTTTTTGAGAGTTTATGTAATTTCTACTCAAATTTGTGATTTAGGTTAGAAATTGTGATTTTGTTGTGAGTTTTCGATATTAGGATTCATTATAAATGTGTTGGAAGTCTCATTTTTATGATCAATAACCTTTTGTTAGAGGTCATTTGTGGCTCTGCTTCGCCATTGACGAAGCTCTGAAATTGCAGGTCGTACCAGAAATTTATTTTCGGTTTTCATTTTAGCGTTGAACAAAATCGAAAATGCATTTCCGGTTTCAGTGTGTTCCTATTCTCCCCTTAATTTTGAACATTAGTCCTTATGTTAACATTTGTTTTGTACTTCTGCGGGAGTAATGACTGAGGGACTATCTAGGTTGAGGCACGACAGGCTTGCACAACATGCTTATGTACGTAGGGAAAGAAGTCAGGCATCTCAGGCTCCTTCTGCCTCTAGACAGACTGTGTCGGATGTGTGTACTACAACCTCTGCCTCCAGTGTTCCAATTTTGACTCTGACTGCATCATCCTCCCACAGCAGGAGAGATTCTCCAATTCATCCTTCCCCGCCTCCGTCCTCTCGTAGACGTACTTCCCCATCGATGGTATTTGAGGCGAAAGAGGCATTTGGTTCCCATCCGACACCAGAGATCACACAGCTAACACCTCGGGCCCAACCACAACCTGCATCCCCAGCACCTGAGGCGGCACCCCAGACATCTCAGGCACCTGAGCCAGAAACTCAGGCGACACTTGCAGCGTCTCAGAGTTTTGGATAAGGACCGTATGATTTATCACTGCTGCCTTTGTACTCAGACCATGTTGTTGGATATATATGGGACAAAGAGGTACGAATTTTTACTTGTTCCTTCTATTACGTTTTTATTATGGAATTTTGTTGAATGAATTTTGTCAAACTATGTATGCATGAACATGATCCGCTAAAGGCATTAATCATTGGTGGAAGATCAGTAAACTCGAACCCCCTCTTGAACCATGGTTTGATGAGTTATTGATGCTTACAGAATTGAAAGATCTGACCAAGTATGATTATACCTTCATTAATCATGGTATGATTAACGCTTTTGTTGAGAGGTAACACCATGAGACATTGTCATTCCATCTACCACATGGTGAGATGACGATCACACTGGACGACGTCACATCTCTGCCACATCTTTGGATTTGAGGGACATTTTTAGACCATGAAAGGATTCACAAAGAGGAGGCGTTGGATATGTTGGTAGAAAAATTGTGAGATACCCCTGAGAGTGTCATGGCTGAGATGAACTTCACCCGTGGTGCCCACGTTAGATATAGTTATTTGAAGAAGGTGTTCATGAATGAGATAAGGCGTGCACGAGAGGCTATGGTGATCCCAATTAGGTTACCTTACACTTAAGATTTTCTATGAGAGCATACCTTTTGTTTCTGGTTGGCACCCATATTTTTGTGGACACTAGTGCCACTTACATAGATGTGATGTACCTGAGGTACTTTGATGATTTTGAGAAGATCCACCAGTGGAACTGGAGGGCTTCTTGTTTGGTGTACTTGTATATGAAGTTGTCTGAAGGATCTAAGTGAAAGACGAAGTAGATGACCGACAACATCACACTCTTGACGGTAAAATTTCTTGGCTTTTGTCGCATTTTGTTAATTATTGTGATTTCGTTACTAATTAATAATTATTGTTATTTCAGGACTAGATCTTAATGCTCTTCAGATTGGTCACTAGCTATAGATTATACTGAAGCTAAACCGCGTGCCACTACATAGGACCCGCTCCGAGAGAACCAGGCGACAAAGTCGTTCTGGATGTATATTGATCGGCTGATGAGAACATACAATTCCATTCATACCATGACCATCTGTTAGACCCCAAATTTTTTCTATCATTTAAACCTAATTGGCTTATGTTACATGTGTATATACATCATACATTGCATAGATTCTCTGGGTTTGGGGATCAAGGTATCTTGTACTATTGATATTCTTCACACAAGAATAGAGAGAATGAGAAATCCTCAGCATAAGGACACACTCAATCTATAAGAGCTTCACTTGACAAAAAATATTCTCAACACACTCCTGATGCCATGGGATAGTTAGGGTTGCAGTTGATTGATATAGACCACCCTCTCATATCTCAATGATGCCTAATTAGGATTTCAGTCAAAAGTCAGCTTATGACTAATTATTTGAAGAATATTTTATTCTATGGTCTCACATATGCCTTAAGGCATCCACATGTCCACTTTTGAGCACCACAAAGTTTCTCAGAAGATTCAAGTAAGCAAATGAATGAGATTTGACCCAGTCGACTGAAAAGTCAACAAAAGACAACGTTTAGTCAAAAGAAGTCAAAATTATGAAATTATGGTCAACATGGACATTTTCATCACTTCTCATGAAATCAAGAAGAATGATCAATAAAATCAGAAGAATAAAAAAAAAATCTTAATTTGGTTGAAATTAAGTACT